CCCCAAAACCCCAAAACCCCAAAACCCCACAATGCTTAAAAAATCATGAAATCAAGATAATAATTGTAAAAATATAAATTGATAAGATAGTGTGAAAAATCTTCAGTAATTACTAGATTTCATATCGTCCTCCCCAATGTTGAATTTAATCATCGCCTCCTTCAGCAGATCTTTATTCATGCTTCTCTCATGCTTATTCATAGTTATGTCAATATTAGACTTGTTAACTACACCTACATTTATCATATTACTTTCATATTCCTTTATATTATTTCTCTATGGGGTTTTAAACTTAGATCTACCCATATTATCCCAATTTAGACTCAGATTTTCAGGTTTGATGTCAATCTAACTCTCAAACTGCAGATCTTTACTTCTGACTTGAAACCTTGAATTATTCTTGCTTAGGATTGCCTGGCGTTGGGATTCTTTGCACTTCAAAGTCAAGTCCTGTGAAGCTTATACCCTGAATTGCTCTAAATCTAATTAAGCTTTATCCCTGACAGCATACTCTTCGTTTGCCTTTATTTCTGACTAATACTATTCATGCTCTAACTTGACTAGTTTTGGCATTTTCTGCTTATAGATATTCTCGTTCATATCCACTATTACCTGCTTCTTATTATTCAGCTATTAACGGAGTTTTTCATTGTTATCGAACCCTTGATCTAGGAAGTTTTTCCTGTTTTCCATAAAGCTGCGCTAAGACTCCTAAGAATTGAGAGATGCCACAATCTCAGTGTTCCTTGTATCCAATGACTTTTACTTGTACTCCTAGTTCAGCGACATTCTTATGCGTTGTCTTGCTTTCTTTAACTGAGCTTGATAATCGTAACTAAAGTACTTAAAGTAGTCATCCTCTATCCAGTTCTCACGATCTCTTCGCTTGGTAATATTTATATTCTACAATTTCTGCTCTTTTTACCTGATCAACTCAGCATGCAGCTAATTGGAATCCACCTAGTTTCTATTGGTGACTAATTTGCCTCTCAATCTTTCGTTATAAATTTTATCTGCGAAAGTATACTTGTTGATGTCCCTCAACTCCAGCTATTTTAGTTAGTAATTCAGGGCTTTGGTCTAGGAGTTCTCACTAATCTGCTAAAGCAGCAGTTACTTTTAAAAAGATTGCTTTTTCTTTTTGTCAAGGAACTCTTAATGCTCTCTAAGTTACATCCGCTACTCCTCCAACTGACCGAGCAACTACCACTCATCCTTCTCAGACTTTTGCACTCCTCTGATCTATGACTGATAATTGGACCCCCGATAGGTTGGAATGTAGAATCCCTTGACATGGTTTGAGATGTGGCCAGCAGAATCTTGAATAATTATCTTGGGACTTGATAGAAGTTGCAATTCCTTTTAAATACTTTGTTTATTTGAGTCATCAAATGTGTTATTAATTGCGGCAAGGCTGTTTTTGTGATTCGTATGATATCTCTCATTCGTATTTTTTGATAAGCCCTGCTCATTCATTGTAGAGTTGAACATCTTTGAGTCAATACTTCCATGCATTCTCGATGACAATGCATGCAGCTTCTTAGTTCTCCTTTTTTCCTCTAAAAATAATTAAATATCGTAATATACTTAGAAGCGCGAGAGTCTCATTTTTTAGCTTAGGAATTCTCTCTTGGGAAATACCTGGCTATTATTGATCATTGACTGTGTCTATGTATGTATAGTTTTTGAAATCTCTCTATTCCACAATGCTCTTTTTAATTTAACTTGCAAGTTATTTGATAAGCTAATCTTTTATCATTTCACTTTAAATAAAATATAATTAATTTTCCTATTATAATCTACTCCTACCTCTCTGACATAAGTTTAATCAATAAAATATAATGGCTTAATTAAAATTGTCACCCCATTTGCAAAGACATCTCAACTAATTAAATCAGATTCCTTTAATACCTGAAGTATGTGCTATCCATTATTTTGAACAATATAAACTAGATAGTTAAGGAAGAGATTCAAGACATCAATAAGAAAGTAATAGATGATATCAAAACAAGCAAGATCGACTGAAGGGTAATCTATTAAAACTATATAAGTTCATACTAATAATTTACTTAGACTTATAATGTAGATGATGATGAAATAAATATAGCTTCTCATTCTAAACTCAAGCAATTTCTATTGAAGGAGCTAAAGATTATGAGGTTGAAGGAAACTGATATGAATTAGAATGAATATTTATTAAAAAAGAAGCAACTGCTGAAAGCAATAAATCAGATTGACCCTACTTAAAGTTTGGAAATATACAACAACATTAGTGGGCTAAGCGACTTTTTATTAAACTTTCAGCAAAATAAATACAGACTGATCAATAAAAATATGTCTTCATCAATATTGAAACATGATGATTCGCTCGAATCTATAAACTTTAATCAGTATTTGATGACTGGTGATGATTATGAAACCAAAAAATATGATCAGTCATTACTGTCATTATCTGATGCCAAAATAAAAAGTGTGGATTAAAAAGACAAATTAAAATAGCTCATAAAAAAGTTGAATAAGTAAAAGTAGATGCTTATTCTGAAAAAGGAAGAATAAGCTCAATTCAAGGCAAACATAGCTTTACCCTAGGCCGAATAAAATGATGAATAAAGATATGAGATATGGAGGCAGAATATGCATTAGAAATTAGAAGAATAAAAATAAAAGCGCAAAGAGTCTTTGGATAAATTTAAGTAGGGCAAAACTAAAGGTGTGCAGAGTACCTTGCACTATAGATGGGAAAAAGAGTTCATGAGTAGTGTAGTGGAGCAAGAGTCTCAAGATATTAAGTAGAAACTATAGAAAATTAAGCAAGATCACAGTCCAATTAGACTAGAGGACATCAACAAACATTCGATGATAGTTTAAGAGTAGTTCTCAACCCTTCAAGATAAAAAAAGATAATAAAGGGAAGAACTATAACTTACTCAGCTATAGCAATAGAGGTATTTGAATAAGATGCAGTCTAAATATACCAATTACATAAAGTAATAGATGCAGGATGATAAGACTTAAAAAGAAGTGAAGGAATAGGAAAAGTTTAAGCTATATCAGAAAAGATAGTAGTATTCAAGCAATGTTGTATAACTGTTCAAACCTAAGATTAAGAGCAATGCTGAATCATAGAGATTAAATAACTACAGCGAGATAGTTTCGACTTAGAATCATGAAAATAGTGAGAGATCATTTCTAAAATGATGATTGTAGAATTCAAATTCTAAAGTAGATCAACTAAATGTCAATAGTTCATTAGAATTATCTTAGAGTAGGATCTCAAATATAAGGAAATCAGGGTTAAATACTATAGATAGGAATTATAGCACAAATAAACCAATCAAACTCTAGCCTTCTCTAGATAATCAGGACTATGGAATAAAAGTTACCTAGAGCTATGAATAAACTAAAATAATACCAAGTAGAACTAAGTAATAGTAAATTGATTTGCCTCATTTAAGCACAATCAAAGAGGATAATGCTAATCTGGCTGGTAAAGATTATCAAATGACAATCAATAGAAAGTCCAGAGCAAAGAGACTAATAAGCAGCAGAGTTATTAATGAGAGCCCTAATAATAGGACTATACAAATAGACTAGATGAGATAGCATCATAACGATTAAGATTCTATTTGGAAAGCTCAACTATCAGGTTATCGGAAAAGAGTAAATGATTACGAGCCTAGCACTCCTAAGGGAAAATAATTGGTGGTTGCCTCATTGAAAGAACTGGATAGAAAGATATAGGTTTACGAGGGTAGAATGAAGAGCAGTTTGGACAGCAGTGTGGACCAAATTAAGGTGAGAAAGATAAACGATGAAATGATGATTGAGAGTATAAAACTTAAACTCGCCTTATTAAATAATATAGCGTGCTAATGAAATGGAATAATTTGCAGGAAAATTTTTTTATTTTTCTTCTATTTTGTCTTTAGTGGGGTTTTGGGGTTTTGGGG